CAGCACTGCCTTCTTTAAAAGCCTGTTTATGTTTTCTTTTGGGCTACCTGTTTGCCTACAAGTATACTTTGACTTTGCCAGAGTAGAAGAAACTACCGCCCATGAGGAACCTACTATGTGTCTCAAGTCCCTGTCACTCATGAGATTGCCCAGAGCTAGGTGGACAGGAAATTCAACCTAGTTAAGAAAGTTCCATTATGTAGATTATCTAAAATTCACAAATGATTTATAGATGACTCAAAGCCATGAGAGTTCAAATCTACAATTTGCTCCTTACGAACTCTAACCTTCAAGAAGAAATCAGGACTAGTTTCTTTCTGTGATATTAGGCCACTAATATCATTCGATGGAACACCAAGACTTTCTATGACCCCTCAGGTCACATCAACATCTGATTTCCTTCGGAGGCCTTAGCTGTTCACTCCAAATGCACGTCATTCAAGGGCTTGGCTCCAAAAGGCCCTAGTAACCAAGGTTTGTGTACTGGGCGGCAGACTTGGCCATGAATGTGCAATTCTTCATCTCCCAACACCCTGCTTCCCTGGTAATGTGAGGGCGGTGGCACCTGGCACGTCAGTTTGACTGGCTTCCTGTGTGGGGTAAGGCTTGTGACTGGCTGGTAGAACCCATTAGAAAGGATTAAATGTCTCCCAAAAGTGACAAATAAGGGAGAGATAGGGGCTGATTGGTAAAGGGAGTGAGTAACTTTTTCTGGGAGAAGCAATTGGACAAATGGCCCTTAATACAACTTTATTTTAAAAGAAAAGCTTTCTGGCAATCTTCTAAGGACAAGCTACAAGTCACTATCTTCAGAGGGGCCTCCCCTTCAGGCCACATGGTATCATGTAGCACTTCACTGCAGTCACTACCTCCTGTGATCCTCCCCCCCCACCTCCACTAGACAATTATGACTGAGTCCATTCTATAGGTAATAAGCCCAAGGCTTAAAGGAACATAACCTGCCTGTGGCCACACAGAAATGTGACTCAGTCCCTGTACTATCTCCAGTCAGCAAACCTTCCAGAGGAATCTGAACTTCCAACCCCAAGTATGTTTCCTCCTTTCATTCTGGGGGGGAAAAAAAGCTTGACCTAAATGATACTCTGAAATTTACTACATTAAATGACAAAGGGAATTCTTCATGTCAGCACTGTGGTTAGGTGTGGTCATTTACTATGTGCTGCTAGCTTGGGCCGTGATATGTCTAACTTGAAAGTTGCTGGGGATCCAGGGTGCACAAGTTCTATCCCTTTCCTGGGGACCACACATAACCTCCTTTTCTAGATTTTAGCCACCACCTACTTTTTGGCCTCACTTTAATGGCAAAATTCCTCAGCCAGAGCTGTGTGTGTGAATGGCTCTCAATGCACAGTCTGGGAAGATATACGTTTATAATGACAATAGCAAATGATTGGGCTTTTTCATTTGATTGTCTCCCTTTGTGTACAATGGTGTTTTCCAGTTACCCTATGAGTGACATAGCACTAGATAATAATGCACAGCTCTTAAGTACCCAGCTGACTATTAAGGCACACACTGAACAAAGAAAAAGTGCATAAAGAAAACAAAGTTCGGCCCGGCGCCAGTGGCTCACACCTAGTCCTAGCTACTCAAGAGGCTGAGATCTGAGGATCCTGGTTCCAAGCCAGCCTGGGCAGGAAAGTCTATTAGACTCTTATCTCCAATTAACCACCAGAAAACCAGAAGTGGTGCTGTGGCTCAAGTGGTAGAGTGCTCGCCTTAAGCTGAAGAGCTGAGGGACAGCATCCAGGCCCAGAGTTCAAGCCCCACGACCAACAAGAAAAAAGAAAACAAAGCCTGTTAAATGAGACATTATATTATATATCTCGATCTACAGCTATCAATATTTCAAGTAGTGGTACTAGGGTTTCAAATCAAGGCCTTGTGCTTGCTAAGCGAATCCTTACAGGCGTCAGCCACTGCACCCAAAGTAAATACAGTATTTATAACATGTAATTAGCATATTCTTCAGTTGTTGGAAACATTAAAACATGTTTTGATTTTTATTATTTGCAAATACTCCCACTTACTACAAAACAAAAGAGCTCTGAAATCTTCCATTTCAACATTGTAAGAGGGCTTTCAAACCCAACTGAAAAAAATCAAGGTCTTTAACCCTCTCTTCCTCATTCCTTCTCAAACTCACTCTCTTACTCCAACAAAAATTGCTCAAGTACTAAGGACACTACCATTTGGTATATCCAGTGAATATCAGAGCAGCCCAGGACTGTCCTCTAGTCTTTTGGCAAAAGACAATCTCTAGATTTGTATGTCTAGGCTATACAGAAACTCCAGACTCAGCCAACTACTCATTCTTCTCTACACACTTGTACTCAGATTCTCTACAGGGGTGCCAAGGTTCCTGGAACCACACCCACTCCTCCCAATGTCCTCCCCCATCTCTCTTAATCAATGCTTTATCCTTCCAACTGCTTAGACCAAAACCTTGAAGTCATCTTACATCTCATATCCAATCTACCAGAAATCCTGGGGTTCCCATCCTAGAATGCACCATAGGATGGTACTTACTTCCTTGCTCCATTATTTCAAGCCAGTATCATTATCTTACCCCTTCACTTGTTCCCTTTTGGCTTATGAGCACAGTGGACACACAGTGATACTTTCAGAGTCAGGTATCACACAATTTAAAACACACCAGTGGCTTTCCATTTCACCCAATATTAAAAGCCAAAATCTTTGCAATGGCTTATAAGGCCTACTCTACCAAAGAAACCTTCCCCCAACCTCCCAACATTCACATCTCTTCTGCTGCTCTACCGATCCCATCCTCACTCAGCATTTAGTCCTTTCTAGGGCATGCTCTGTGTTTTCACTGTGTTCTCCATACAATGTAAGCTCCACACTGCAAAAATTTGTTTTTTGTTCACTAACAATCTGTGCCTATAATGGTGCCTGGCAAGTAGTTTCCCAATAAACATGCTGAATGAATATGTGGAGTTAACTTCTTGCCATCCATAAACTTTGGCAGGAGAAAGAGGACATACCTAGATTCAATGTTCTTACCAACTGAACCCTGATTCTCTAATGGACTAACTCTGTCTAATCTGAAAATAAAATGCAAGCTTTTAGTACAAGGTTCAGCTTCAGTCACATAGACCTGGGCCCAAGTATACATGTAGGTGCCCACCTAGGACAGCGTAAGATAGGCCACAACAAACTAGTACCATATGCACAGTATTATTAGCTGAGAGAGCCACAAGACAAAAGGATCAAACAGCCTGGGACACTTATCCATTTCTTCTACATGAGGAATCACCCCAAGTTTCCCAAAACTTTTGACCAGTAAAGCAGAGCAAATCTTAAATGTGGGTGCACAAATGGGAGTCCTGATCTTAATTAGTTGTGACAACCACATAATCATAACCCAAATTCAGGTCCCCTCTTCCAAAGACAACTTCCCTCCTACATTGGGACAAACTTGAACTCTAGAAATCTTGTAAAAGCAGAAAGACTGAGATCAAAATAGAAAATAACAATTAAAATACTATCCAATAAAATACTATCCAACCTGTCACCCTCAAGGCTGGCTTTAGGGAATGCCATCATCTTACTCAATGGGTAGTGGACAAATTGGCCTGGCACCTGGAAGGTACTCATGAATGGTTATGAAATGGCAGAATTATGGCTAGTGATACACCCAGAAATACAGATGCTGAAAACACTATAGATGTAACTTGTTCTTCTTGTAATTCCATCCAGAAATCTGAGGGTGACAAGGGAAAAGGGAGGAACAATTAACTCAAGTGACAGAGGCTCTATGCCAGATGGTTCCTTCCTACAACTGGCAAGACCAGCACTTCCACCTTAACTCAAGGCTTCAACTAAATCTGAATCTAAGAGATTATTTTACCTTGCCATATTGGCATTAAGAAACCAAACAAAAAAAGCAGGTAGGAGGTTAAGACGTAGCTGCTCTTATTCAATAGGATCTTAGATAAGTCACTTATAGTACATGTAAAAATATGGGGATCAATGTCTGATCTACTGTCTGGTCCATACCTTGGATTCCGTCTAGATTCCTGTTAAATGCATACACCTCTGAATTTTCTATCTAACCTCTCTACCATACCGCTCTGTCTTGGTCCTCAATCTCCTCATTAACCCAAAGGTCTAGTCTAACCAATGTATCAAGCTCCCCGAGACCAGTTCCTCTGTAGATATTGGGATCCTTCCCACTTCTAATTCCCTACTCTTACCTTGGGGTACCATACTGAGAGGATAACTTCCTTCAATACTTGTCCCCTTTTCACAACTGATAAATATTGAGAATGTTTTTCTCTCTAATGAGGCTACAGAATTCACAAAGACAAGGAAAAGGTTGATTTGGCTTATTATGTTACCCCAAAGCCTAGCAGCCTACTTGACAAAAAAGTCACAATAACCCTTAAACAGCAAAGTCTATATAAGACTTTCAATAATATATTCTTTGTAATCTCTACCATAAGAGACTGCTTAATGAGATGCCATCCCATCACTGAAAGCCATCCTTTCCAAGTATGACAGGTGCTCAAATCTTGTGTTGAGTAAAAAGGACAAAAAACAGTCTCCCTAGTTACAAAAAGACCTAAACCATGTAACATCTGAACAGGAAAGCAATGATTAGCAATACTATTTCCTCTCTGAAAAGCTGTACCTCTTCTGCACATTTCCTATAGTGTGCACTTCTTACCTGACAGTAAGAAAAAGTATTTCCTAGGAACTTATGAGATTGAGCCAAAACACAAACTCCTCTCAAAAAACTAGATTTCCCAACTTGTATTCAAATAATCTTACATAACCTATCTCTTCAGCAAGACTTTGGCAGAGGTCATGGTAGTGTTTGGGTTGGGGGGGGGGGGCGAGAAGAGCCTTCTCATCATCCCTGCACTTCTCCCTATTCCACAGCGTACACTGGAGGGAGGAGGACACAGAACCCACTTTATTGAGTGTGCATGAAGAAGAAGAGAGCACTCACCTACTTTTAAAAACACCCAAGATGGTCAGGCCTGAATTTAAGCAGCACATGTGACCTGGTCCATTCTGGTTTCAAGTTCAAAGGCATCAGGCCGGTCCTGTGGGTTAGCAGCCAACATATCTTTCAAGAGCTGCTTGATCCCCTCAGACATGGAAGTCCTACGTTTCTGGGGAATATGCAACTCCATCTTTGGGTTTTCTAGCAGCGCCTCACCAACAGGGACGATCTCAGACCCCTGTTTAATGTAGGTCCCCAGGAGCTCCTTCTTGGTCTCAGAGTCAATGAAAGTGATTCTTTCTATCATTGCCCAGATGATAATGCCCAGAGCAAAGATGTCCGCCTTAGCTGTGTAGTGTCCTTCCCAGACTTCAGGAGCCATGTAGAAGTCTGAGCCGCAGGCTGAGGACAGCCAGTATTTGTTCACATTCACATTTTTGTTGTCTTGATTGCCCTCTTTGCCTCGATGTGCCAGCCCAGCACAGACCTTACTCAGTCCAAAGTCTGCCACCTTGAGGATGGGGGTGCCAGACCGTTCAGTGATGAGGATGTTGTCTGGCTTTAGGTCCCTGTGCACGATGTGGTTTTTGTGCAGGAAGGCAATGGCACTCGTGAGCTGTAGCATGAAACTTTTGTTGGTGGCTGGGTCTGGCCTCCGGGACAGGACATACTGATTGAGATCTCCACCTTCACAGAACTCCATGACAAACCAGAGATAGCAGGGCTCCTCAGCATAGCCCAGGATCCTTTCTCCTAAGTCAAAGGAGGATAGGAAAGAGCTTCAGTGACATGGATATATTCACAGTACTTTTCAACCAAAGGAATAAGCTACATTAAGCAATGACAGTGGCGACAAATAATTACTTCAAGAGGACCTGTACAAATGGTATTATGTCAATTCTACACATGCAGGCCCATTTCAACTCACATAGGACAGGCCAAGAGGTGACAGACAGTACCAGGGACTAGTGGAGCATCTAGCACTTAAAATGAAGGGGCCTGGGTAGAAAATCATGGTTTCACAGGCCGTTTGGTTGATTGTGAAGCCTTTTTTTGTTTGTTTGTTTCTTTAGTATCTTAAACTAGGAGCATCATTCCATCCAAACTCCCAGGACTTCATGCTGGGAAGAGGAGAGGGGTTTAAGTGTGTGCTTCTACTATCACTATTGCTCCATGACAGCCAAATGACCTTCCCTCTCTCCTTTCCTGACTTGTAGAAAAATTCTTGTTAATACATGAAGAATGATATTTTAAGTTTTTTTTTTACCCTAACACATCTCTGGCTCTACAGAGTTTAGATTTGCAGGCACGTATGGTAGCAATCACCATCAGCAGTACTAGGGGCAGCAAGGTCAACTCCTACCACAAAGAAGGGCAAGGCTCACCAAATATGAACAAGGCAGAAGGGCAAGACCCAAGATATCCTTAATGGATACAGATTGGCAGAGGAATGCAAGACAGCAACTCTGGGCTACCATGGAGCAGACAAGACAATAATGGACCCAAAGGGACAAATAAGCCAGAAAGGTGTAAAGTCTGATGGGAACAATGAAATCTGAAGTAGAGGCATAAGCAGTTTTTGGGTTTTTTTAATTGTGTGGGGCTTGAAAGTAGGAGGATGGTGACTGTCTTCTCTATGCCAATCATGATATACTTTTCATTGACAGCTCTCATATGAAAGTCTTATCTCATTAATGAAAAGGTTGAGCCCACAGAGAAGGGACTCACCCAAGGTAGACACACAGGACAATTTTAACTGAGCTATACCCTGAAATATGTCCTCTTGCTTCCAGTATGGGGTAATCACACAACCAAAGACAAAGGATGCACTTCCTTAGACAGCCTTGGCTGTGATCCAGAAGATTCCTGCCATGATATTTCCAAGGCCCTGTCTTACAAAGCCCAAGGTCTAGGAGATCCAGGTTGAGCCAAGATTAACTTGACACCGACTTAAGGTTTGACCACAATCAGACAGTCTTCCCTTCTACTGCAATTATGTAATTTATTTGTTTATATTACTCACAATCAAAGTAATACAGGTAGAACCAGTTCAGAGCAGATGGCTTTTTTTTTTTCCAGAACAGTTGTTTCCCCCTCTCATAATCCTCTTTCTAGGTCACTGGCAAGCTGGCTGAGGCTTTCTACCTAAAAACACTACAAAATGAAGCTGTGACCTGAAGCCCAAACCCATCTAGACGTGAGAGAGACAGAAAAGAAGAACAAGAAATGATCCCTGGTGGCAGAGCCAGAAAGAAAAAGATTAACAACTAGTCAAATTCCTTCCTAAAGGCCACATCAGATAACTGTGAGATTTCTGGTGGAGGAATAAAGGGTGGGGAAATGATCATCATTTTATATACAAAGCTGGTAACTATAGTGACTGAGTAGAAATAAGAAAACAAGGCTGCCAAACAGGCTGTAGTGTAGGGCTAGATTATGAGCATCCAGACAAAGAAATAAAAGGTTTCAAGTGCCCCAAGTCAGCATCTGGGTAAGGCAAATGGGTTCTTGGACCAAAAAGCCTGTGCAGGGAGCGAGGCCTGTCTGGGCCTCTCTGCTACTTTTTACCAGACTCAAGGAAGAGACAGTACCTAGCACTTGATTATTCAAGTGGAGAAGCAAACCAGGCTGGAAAACAAGACCACATGGGCATAGACCAGAAACAAGAGGTCTGGATGCATACCCTGGTTCTAGGTACTGCAGTGTTTACTGGGTTGATTCTAATATTCAGAGAAGAACATGGGCTAAGTGAGGCATGGTGAAAGGCAATGAAAACTTTATAGACAAAACCCTGAACCTCCTTGCCCATGTATTTGTAACCCCTCTATATGGTATTTTCACAATAAAAAAAAAAAAACCTGAATCTCTAAGCCTCAGTCTTATCAAATCTGAGAATGACATCTTAATCACGGGATTACTGTGAAGTCACTAGTATGAAATACATTTTGTTGGGTATAAGATCCTCTGGAGAAAAAGCCCACAGACCATCACTAGCATCCTCATTACCCCTAACCCTAACTAGGTCCGTGAAAGTCACATTTCAATAGTACCAACACACTGTAGGCCACAATAAAGATGCTACATATTAGACAAAAGAAAATGTTTGGATCTGAAAAATCATAGTGGACTATATGCCATGGAGGACAGCGCATTTCTTAGGTTAAGACAACTAAAACCTACATTCTAGCTACACCAGGACACACTTTTGAGACAGTCTCTACGTTAAAGGATCCTCCACATCTCTGCCAAAGTTGATCACTATGGTCCTCAAGTGAACCTTCACAGCCATATCCATAATCTGCAACTGAATGCACACTGTAAGGCCAGCCTGAAGGGCAATCTACTTTATGCTAGCCTGGCTGCCCAAGTAGCTTCCCTCTTCTGAACAGCCAAGGTCATGGTCTTAAAACTGTATTAAAGTTTTATAACTAATAGCAGACATTCTGGTCAGCTACTCATGGCTTAACTCTTTAACCCTGAGAAATGCTAGCACATTTTGCAATTTTCAAGGTGGGGTTAGATTTCTTTTTTGACTTTCTGCCTTCCCAGAGGGAAGTATACACTGGGGAGGGAAAAATGACCAAACTACCTGGGATAGTTTGTCACTGAAATGCTGGTTCCAACCACCCTCACTCCTAAGACCCAAAAGTCACTGTGATCCACCAGAATAGGGGCTGATGGAGGTCAGGTGATTGATTTTAGCCCAGCAACACATATATACAATCAAAGATTTATAGTAAAAGTTAAAAATCTAGTTTCCTTTCCAAAGAGACACAAAAGGAGGGTGTTATTTAGAAGATGTGATAAGGATGTGAGAGCTCACCAGTTTTCAGGCACAACTGTATAAGCTCATTACAGCCTATTTTATAGATTGGAAAATCAAGTGTGAAAGAAGTTAAGGAGGTTAAGTAACCTGCTTAGAAGGGACAGCCAGCAAGGCAATGGTGGCTCACGCCTGTAATCCTAGCTACTGAGGATGCTGAGATCTGAGGATCATGGTTCAAAGCCAGCCTGGGCAGGAAAAGTCGGTGAGACTCTTGCCTCCAATAAACCACTCAGAAAACTGGAAGTGGCACTGTGGCTCAAGTAGTAGAGCACTACCTTGAGCTGAAGAGCTGAGGGACAGAGCTCAGGCTCAGAGTTCAAGTCTCCAACAGACAAAAAAGAAAAGGAAAAAAAAAAAGAGAAGGGACAGCCACAGGCCATGAAGGTGGTATCTGAGCTTCCACAGCCAAATCTTTCAAGCAGACCATGCTGTTATTCAACTGACAGAGGGCTGACTGATTAAAGAGGCAGGTTTACTTTACTCCCTTACCCTCAAGTCTGATGCGTGGGTGACCTTAAAATAAATTCTGCATTTCCAAGCATTTCCCATATTGCAGTTTGCAGAGAGACAGATATACTAAACAATATCTCAAAACCAGACGCTATGAGCATTACCATTACTCATGGAAATACATAGTGATGTCTTCCATTAAAACGTGGCCTGCTGAAAGGTATGGTGATGCATGCCTGTAAGCCTTTACTGGGTAGGCTGAAACAGGAGGATTACAAGCTCAATTCCACCTTAGGCAACACAGAGAGAGCTGTATCAAAATAAAAATGATTGGAGATGTAGCTCAGTGGTAAAGCACTTGCCCAACATGCAGAAGACCTGGGGCTTAATCCCTGATGCTTTAAAAACAAACAAAAAAGCAGCCACTTTATGGAGAAAGAAAGCCAGCAAGCTCCACCTGACTGTAACAGTAAACTGTACGAGCAGTATGAGCCCTGGAAAAGCAAGTACCTTCTGATAAGACACACAAAATACTCTGGATTTTATAAGGCTATTCCTACATCTCTTTTAGAAGTGAGCTATCCAGCTTCCAGTTAACTCCAATTCCAATCAAGCCTCATGGGCTCAGAAACCAAGCAACCTGGGACCAGGTAGCCCAGAGGAATCACAGAGGAGGTATGCCTGTAAGCAGGCAGTGGGCAACAGAAACACTCAAAAGTCCCCCATCCACTTACTATACATATCTATGGAGGCACTGATCTTAAACTTACCCTTGACATAACCTGACAGACTATGGATGACACTATGATATTAACATGTAAAACCATGAGTATGGGTTAGTTGAGTTCCCTCTGGAGGCTGATGAGCCAAAAGTCAGATGAGCAGCTGAGAACTTAATAGGAGTTCTGCAACCAGGAATGATCAAAAGAGGAGGCAAACAGCAATCAAGAGAAAGGCTTGATGGCTTAGGATCAATGGAACTTAGTCAGTTTATACACCAGAGTATGCTGTAAAGGAATAATTCAGAGTATTTGACCCAATCTTCTCCACTCCAAACTCCTATCCTTTCAGGGGAGGAGGCAGAGGCTCCAAAGAATGACACAAGCAGCTGGGAGCAGAACCTGGGTGCTCACCAGGATCATCTTGGTACCGGCAGCAACTTCTCCCTGGATGTTCTATTTCCCTCTCTGGCAAAAGCTTCTTATAAGCAGACTGTTATTTATGTACACTCCAAGGAGTTCAATGTTCAAAGTCCCTGGGGTCCACTGTCCGGCTACATAACACTTTTCTCAGAAGTAGATTTTGACTTCAATTGCTAAGATGACAGCAATTCAACAGTATATATCACAAGTCTTAAGAATGCTTAGTTCACTGGGGCGCTAGTGGCTCATGCTGTAATCCTAGCTACTCAGGAGGCTGAGATGTGAAGATTGCAGTTCAAAGCCAGCCCCAGCAAGAAAGTCCATGAGATTCATCT